CCCTTTTCCCCCCCCCCCCCCCCCCCCCCGAAGTCAGTCTTGACTTCTGGCTCCTGCCTAGACTAGCCCTGCACTTTTCTAGACAACATTTTTCAGTTTGGTCTTGCCCTCCCTTTCCTAGGGGTGTGAGAGAGAGGGTGGTCCAGGGTCACCCAGCTGGCTTTGTGCCTAAGGCAGGGCTAGAACGCACGATCTCTCCGCTTCCGCCCTGGGGCCTCTAACCCTTACGCCAGACTGCCTCTCAAGCAGAAAACCCAAACTGTAGGAGCAAGAATGCACGCACTTCAGCCGGCTGTCCCAGAAGGCCGGAGTGGCAGGCACAATGGTTTTGATGAAGAACGGCTGGTTCCCTTTGCTTTCTTCAAATCCGCCCACTATGCTGAATCCCCAGCTCTCCGAGTTGCTTTTGCGCAAGACGATATCTTGACAGCAGTGGAGGTGGCTGAAAGAAAGAAACAAACAAACAAATGCTGCTTGCTTTTCTGGGTAGAACAGCCCCTTGGAGTTATCCCTTACCTTTTGTAGGGAGATGAAAGCAGCATCACAGCAGGAGTGGGTAACTATGGCAACCGTCAGCCGTTCCAACTGGATCAGTTAGAAAAGAAAGACTTTCCAGGCCGTGGTTTGCCAAAAGTACACTTTACGACCTGTGGATTTGAACTTCCTGCAATGCAGAGGTGGGGAAGGGCACCGGGTGGTAGAGCTCTGAAACAGACAGTCCTGCAGGTCTCTCAGGTAACATTCACTGCAGTGTCCAGGAAATGGACATGCCAAAGTGGGGATGTCAAAGTGGGCTTCTGTAGTTTATATTCCAGTTTCCCTGAGTTTATCAGCTGCAGTCAGGAACACACAAGCATCCATCCCACCATAAAAAAGTCCAGCAGGGTCAGCTTCAGTTATTCTAGTCCAGGGGTAGGCAACCTTGGCTCTTTTATGACTCGTGGACTTCAACTCCCAGAATTCCTGAGCCAGTCATAAAAGAGCCAAGGTTGCCTACCTTGCTTTACTTGCTTCACTCAATCATGCCAAGGTCCATCTCTTTCCTCCAAAGCAAGATCTGCCATGTTGCCTTCAGAAGTTGTGGGTGCTCCATAACTCATCAAGAAGAGACTGGACATCCATTTGTCCAGAATGGTAGAGGGTCTCCCATTCAAGCAGGGAGTTGGACTAGAACAGTGATGGCGAACCTTTTAGAGACTGAGTGCCCAAACTGCAACCCAAAACCCACTTATGCATTGTTGGGTGCCGGGTGGGCGTGGCCCATTGACTGGGTGTGGCCCATTGGGTGGGCGTGGCTACACTGGTAACAGCAGACTGGGTGGGACTAAAAAGTTCAATCAATCGATTCCAACTTTGCAAGATCTTTTTTTTCCCCACGAGAAGTTGAAATTGACTGATTGATTGAACCTTTTTTTTTTTTTGCGCACAGCGGCAGAGGCCTAAAGCGAAAAGGTTTTATAAAACCCAGCTGAAGGCCTAGGACTGGGGCGACGGTGCCTGTGCCCACAGAGAGGGCTCTGAGTGCCGCTTCTGGCACCCGTGCCATAGGTTCGCCACCACTGGACTAGAAGACTCCAGGATCCTTTCCATCTCTATTATTCTGCACTCTGTATTTTAATTCCAGTGGCATTCTAACAACACTTTCAAGCACGATTTTTGAAAGGCTAAGTCAAGAAAAATGCCCTCTAAAAACATTACACAGTTTTGGCGATCAGGCTAAAATAAGCAAGAACTACTTATCGCTGCCAGCACCAAACGTACCTTGGCAATCCGAGCCAGGTGATCCAGAGAGGAGACCAGCTCGCCCAGCGGTGCCCGTTTTCCCTCCTGTCCAGGCTCTCGGCCCCTTCCGATGCCTTCTCTGGCATTACCACCTCCAGCGCTTTCAGCACCACCGTCTGTAAGGCCGCATTTGATTTCAGAGCAGAGACAGCCTCGTTATAATTCAGATGAGTCAAATCGACATTGTTGATACTCAAAAGTATATCTCCTGTTACAGAAATCCAAAGGAGACAGATTAGAACAGACATGTCAAACACAAGGCCCGGGGGCCAGATATGGCCCGTGAAGTGGTTTCATGCGGCCCGCAAAGCCATCCTGGAAACAGTGAGGGAACGGCCCCCACTGCTTTGGCCCTGGCCCAGGCCGGCCGGGAGCCAATGTACAATGTTGTGGTGGCCATCTATGCTGAAACGCATTCAGTCTTAGCTCCACAAGGCCGTCCGGAAACAGCGAGGAACCAGCCCCTGCCACATCGGCCCCGCCCCCTGGGCGCATGCTGGGGAGGTGTCACCCTTTGTGAGGAATGAAGAAATGGACCATGCCTTGGCGCTTGCCCCGCCCCCCCCTTCTGCCAGAGACCCTCAGATCTGTCCCACTCCTGCCCAGGCCCCCACAGGCACCCTTGACACGAACGATGTAGAGCTGGCCACGCCCACCCAGTAGGCCACACCCACTCCATCCACGCCCACCCAGTAGGCCGCACCCACCCTGGCCAACCTCCCCCCTCCCTCCGAGGGCAACCACAATGCTGATGCGGTCCTTAGTAAAATTGAGTTTGACACCCCTGGATTAGAACCAAGATTTTGGTAAAAAATGGTACCTTCCTAGTTTGGTTCACTCTTTACAAATTCATGAAAGCTTACTCAAAAAATGTTTTAAAAAGGAGGTATCCTACCTTTCTTAATTCTCCTATCCCTGAAGAGACATCCGACTGGCTGGACGCTGGTTACATAAATGGGGAGTTTGGCTTTGCTATCTCTTCCTCCTCCTATGGTTATTCCCAAAGACTCTTTGGGGTCCTTTTTTATGGTAACCACCTTTTCCTGGCTGAAGTATCCTTGAGGGAGTATCTAAAAGTTCAGAGGAGAACAGGGAATTAAGAAAATAACCTATATATCAAATGTATGATAATTAATGTTAATTAAATTGATGAGATGTAAATCCCAAGCCAGCAGAATCCCCATTACATCAGACTGAAACAGGTTTTTTTTTCATATTTTCATTTCCAAGGGAGATTTTGCAAAGGATGGAGGATACCATGGCAATAGCGAAAGGAGCTACACAGTGATTAAAAACATTAGAAGAGATTTCTCACGAGAATCCCAGAGGTGCTTTTTCAAAAGGCAACTGGACTTTGTTTTTCCTTGAAGACATTTCACTTCTCATCCAAGAAGCTTCTTCAGTTCTGACTGAATGGTGAAGCATGGATGGATTTATATTCCTTGCAGTCATCTGGTCATTGGCACTCTCTCTGAGAGTCCTTGAGGCCACTTGGAGGTTTATCTGCCCTCAAGGTCACCTGAATAGTGCAAGGAATATAAATCCTTCCATTCTCCACCATTCAGTCAGAACTGAAGAAGCTTCTTGGATGAGAAGTGAAACGTCTTCAAGGGAAAAAGAAAAAAGAAAAAAAGTCCAGTTGCCTTTTGAGGAATTCTAAAAAGTTTGGTTTGGAGAAAGGAAAAAAAGAGTTACGTTTAAATGAAACCCAGAGGTTATTTTGTCTGGGACAACTTCCAGAGTTGAAAACCTATTTTTTAGGTTTGAATTCCTAGGTAATAGGCTAAGAGAAAGCTAGAACAATGTATTCAAAACACGTTCTGTCACCCTTACAATTGTTACCTATTCTCTCTCACGTCTTAACGACATGCTTAACTTTCATGAAAGGGCTAAAAAGTCATCTCCTTTCCTGAAGTTAAAGGTGAACAGGAGGTGAGTCAGACAGGCATCCTGGCTAGAAAATACATCAGCCCACCTTTTGCAGAAAATAAGCTGGCTTGCAAAACCTTCCTGAATATAATTAAGGGCAGCTGTTGAAAATGATTTCAAAAAGAACATTTATGCTTTTTTGTGGATCACCAGATGCCTGAACTATTTCTGTAACATACAGAATGTCTGTAGTGGTGTGCTTTTTGTTCACATTTCAATAATGATAAATAACTACTTCAATGAGGAATTAAGATGAACTCCCAATAATGGTAATATGGGAGATACCTCTACAGGGATCATCTGTATGGAAATAATAGGGTATGGAAAGTTCATTAATCATATGATTTTTTTTCCAGGAGGCAGAAGCCCTGTCAGTTGCAATGGATTTTGGACCTTTAAGTCCGGAAAGTAATGTGCAGATCCCCACCAATCATGGAAAAGTAGCAACCTCATAGCAACAGCACTTAGACTTATATACCGCTTCACAGTGCTTTACAGCCCTCTCTAAGCGGTTTACAGAGTCAACATATTTGTCCCCAACCATCTGGGTCTTCATTTTACCGACCTCGGAAGGATGGAAGGCTGAGTCAACCTTGAGCCAGTCAGGATCGAACTGCTGGCAGCTGGCAGAATTCTAACCTCTGTGCCACCACGGCTCCTTTAATTATGCTTTAATTAACCATGATAAGGAGTCTGGGGACAATTGAGGGAACTAAGTATGTCTAGTCTAGTGAAAAGAAGGAGTAGGGGTGACATGATAGCAGTCATCCAATACTTGAGGGACTGTCACAGAGAAGAGGAAATTGACTTATTCTCCAATGTCAGGATGAGAATCAATAGGTAGATCATTAAAGAGAGCTCCAACTTGGAATTAAGAAGGAATGAGAACAATTCGTCAATGGAATGCAAGTTGCCTCCAGAAGTTGTGGGTGCTCCATCACTGGAAGCTTTCAAGAAGACATTAGACAACCATTAGTCCGGGATGCTATAAGGTCTCCAAGGTCCCTTCCAGCCTTCTGTTCTATGGTCAGGTTTTTACCTGATCCCTTCCAGTGAAATAAATGTTGATGACGCTAGAACAGGCCTTCTCACAAACAGCACTTCCACTGTTGAATTTCTCTCCCCAGACCAACACAGATTTAGTTACACACACACACCCCTCTTCTCCCCCCCCCCCTCTGCATTCTATTCTGCCTTGCCTTACTTTTCACTTTCTCTGCTGTTTTAATGACTGGCCACTTTGTACCATTTTCATGACATTCTTGTGGTTTTTACCCAGAAGATTCCACATGAGCCCTTATTAAGTGGCAAGGGGAGAAATGTTGTGAAGTCAGTTTAAAATGAAATTAGAGCATCAAATCACTGCAACTGGCTCCCTGTCGTGTGCTCTTCTCTTACTTACCGTCACCAGTTTCCTATTCTGTCCAACTTCTAAGTTCCCAGTTATTTATTTATTAAATTTATTTGCTGCCCATCTTGCTATTGAAAGAGTCTCCGAGTGGCTTACAACACAACAGACGCAAACATAATAAACGTGAGGACAATGAAAACCCTAAAACTAATTTAAAAATTACAAGAATTACCTGCAGGCTGAAAGCCAAGGGCTCAAGAGCGGAGGTGGTGCCTCCAGCCCAGAGCGCCTCCACTAGGCCCCCCAAGCCAACCGGCAGAGCCATTACACAAAATGGCACACCCTCTTTACAGGCTGGGAGGGGACCATGATGAAAGGCTGCACTCCAAAACCAGAGAGCAGAGCCAAGGCGAAAAATTAAATTTCGTCTCATTTCACTTCTGTTTACATAAATATAGTTAACGTAATTACTCTCGCACAATGTATTTAACAATCCCACCCAGGTCATATTTTAAAAGTTACAATCTGAGAGCCATATTTGAGGGCTCTGGGGGGGGTGCTTAAGGCTTTGGAAGGATGGGTGGGGGCTAAATTCTACATTAAAGCAAAAGGTGGCTTCTACCACCTGGAGGAATCTAGACCTCTGGTAAAGGAGATCATCTTAACACTGCAAGTTAAAAACATTCCCGTGGAAAGATCTTTAACCAATTACAGGTAGTCCTCAACTTATGACCACAACTGAGCCCCAAATTTCTGTTGTTAAGCGAGACCGTTGTTAAGTGAGTGTTGCCCCATTTTATGACCTTGCTTGCCACAGTTGTTAAGTGAGTAACACGGTTGTTAAGTGAACCTAGCATCCCCGTTGACTTTGCTTGTCAGAAGGTCGCAAAAGGGGGTCACGTGACCCCCGGGGGACCCTGCGACCGTCATAAATATGAACCAGTTGCCAAGCGGCTGAATTTGGATCACATGACCCCTGGGGATGCTGCAATGGTCGTAAGTGTGAAAAACGGTCCTAAGTCACTTTTTTCAGGGCCGCTGTAACTTCAAGCGGTTACTAAACAAATGGTTGTTAAGTCGAAGGCTGCCTGTAGGGCATACTGTCTCTGCACCTGTGCCATTTCCGTAACACTGTTTGCTCAAGCGGAGAAGAGATCAACTCAACCAGAACTGACGGAAGGACCGATACCTTCTGGTAGTTGGACCTTCGCCGGAAGTGACTCTGCTCCGGCTTCCTCCGGCTGCGCACGGGGCTTCCCCCGTTGCTGCTGCTGCTGGCATTGGAGGTGCTGCTGTCCTCAGCGGCTTCCGAGAGTTGCACGCCGGACTGACGGAGAATCACGAAGCTCACCCGGGCTTCACTGCCCTGTCAGGGGATGTCACAGAAAAGGAGAAGCTTAGAAGAGGAATAACCGAAACCGCTTGAGCACCTGATGAGTTCCTTGCTCTCAGAGGCTTTTAAGGACCCTCCAGGAAAGCTAGAGGATGCTTCCATTAAGGGTTTGTTTTCAATGTATATTTGTGGGCATCCAATCAATCAATCAATCAATCCATCCATCCATCCATCCATCCATCCAACATCTATCTATCTATCTATCTATCTATCTATCTATCTATCTATCTATCTATCTATCTATCTATCTATCTATCATCTATCTATCCATCCATCCATCCATCCATCCAATATCTATCTATCTATCTATCTATCTATCTATCTATCTATCTATCTATCTATCTATCCATCTATCCATCCATCCAACATCTATCGATCCATCCATCCATCCATCCATCCATCCAGGATGTCCACATTTGATATATATTGAATTTTCTGTTTCTAAGGCTATCATAAAGCCAGTTTTAAAAAATGAAATATACATTGAAAACAAATGTGTTATATATAACACACACAAGTGTGTGTGTGTGTGTATGTGTATAGAGAGAGGGGGGGGAGAGAGAGGGAGATGTATGTATGTATAAACACAGGGAACTAAAATAAGTGAAATAACAGTAGTAATTGACTGAACAACTAGCCATTTCGACAATCAATACACAACTGTGCAATGTCATTATTTATTATATCCCAACCTTATTATTTGTATAAATAGCTCAAGGTGACAAATACACCTAATACTCCTTCTATTTTCCCCACAACCCTGTGAGGTGGGTTGGGCTAAGAGAGAGGGATTGGCCCAAAGTCAAGCAATCGGCTTTTGTGTTCAAGGGAGGACTAGAACTCAGAGTCTCCCAGTGACTGGCCCAAAGTCCCCCAGCCGCCATTCATGCCTAAAGCAGGACTAGAACTCATCATCTCTTGGTGATTAAGCTGCCAGTCATGCCTAAGGTGGGACTAGAACTCACAGTCACCTGGTTTCTATCCTGGTGCCTTCACCATTAAACCAAACTGGCTTTACATAACTATTAAGCATGACACGGGCATGTTACAAAACAGCAGCAGTTTCTGTTTTAGCTACGTAGTCTTGAATCCAAAATTTAGGGACAGAACAGGAAATCAACATGGAAAAGGCCGGGAAGGAGCTCCCGATTCCCCCTGCCCCACCCCTCCCAAAAAATCCCTATCTTGTAACAGGAAGGGTCAAGATTACTATACATATCTAGAAAAAAAGTCAGAATGGACAACTGCAGCTTACAATGCATAACCTTGAAATGTTAATGCAAGCTAGTGTTAGCTTATTCTGTTATAAAGTCTTGGATTTACTCTTAGCCCAGCTCAAGTGAATACTTAAACTGTGGCCTAAAGTAATTGCTCATTTACTAATTCACTGATTCTGAAACCTGTTGATACATCACACCAGAGTGCAGTATTGTTATTTACTTGATGTGATCCCATAATTATGATGTGTAAACCACAGTATAAAGCTTAAGGTTTGCACATCCCACCAATTATGGTTTATACAATAAAAATGTGAGTCAGCATAGCAAGCTGTCAATAGAGTTTCTCTTGGCATTGTTAGAAAGAAAGACGGGATCAGTTACCCATTATCTTAATCACCAAATGGAATTCCTTAGAAACAATGCAGCTTTTCTTCCCGTATTATTACTTTAATACGTGCTATTTATACGTGCTATTTATCATCAGCATCCAAACTACAGACACATACTGGGGGGGGGGGGGTCTTTGATGGACTCTGAGCTTGGTAGGGTTTTTTTTTTTGGAGATGCTTCATTACCAAACAAGGTAACATAAGCAACAGCACTGATGAGGTTACCTAGTTTGGTAATGAAAAGTCTGCGAGGAAACCACCAGACTCGGAGATCACCAAGGAACCCACATTTCAACCTTCAGCTACAAATATTCACTTCTAACAGTCATAAGCATGAAGACCAGTGGAAAGACACTTTTTTTTAGTGCCACTGTAATTTCCAACGGTTGCTAATAAAGGAATATCTGCAAGCCACTGGCTTCATTGTAAGCCAGGGAGCCATTCCACTGCAGGTTGCATCTGAGGTCTGTGGGTCGGTCTCACTACATACATTTATACCTTTTCAATCTAAACTGAAATTTTTGCCCTCAAATGGAGGGCATCTTCCTGTTCTAGTAATCACACATTCAACTTAAAACTTCAGTTTCTTGGGATTTTAAAAATAAAAAAGATACACCTAAGGGGCGTTTTTCTTTGTTTAAGTTTTTCTTTGTTTAATTTAAGAGGTCACTGAAGCCATGAGAGGAACTTCTAACAAAAATCTACAAAACTTTTCCAGTAGGATTCAGTGCATTTCAGACAAGAATTTCAGATGCAAAGCTATTTCATTCCCTTATCTCATGAAATCTTGCAGTAGGAATTTTGCTGCACAGCATTCCTGCACATATACATACATACATACATTATACAGATACATATAAAAACAAAGTACTAAAGTGCTTTACAAAGTACGTTGTTAGACTTTCCAGTCAATCTCAAATTCAGAAAAGTATTAATAGAATATTTATTATATTTTCATTTTATTTTAAATAGGATGCAGCCCTGGGGTTGGCTGATGGCTTGAGGGGACTCCTCTATCTTGTTTAACATTTTTAAGTCTTTTGAATTTTTTAACGTTGGTTTTCACCTTTAATCTATACATTTTCTCCTTATTCTTAATTCTGTTTTCAACTGTGCTTTTAATCAAGTGTTTATATTGTTTTATTATGTTGTTATAAAATGTCCCAGAGTCACTTGGCTGTGATGGTTGGTGTAGAAATTTAACAAATAAATAAAAGAGAATTAAAATACTGATGTGGTTGATACTCTTGGTCACTCATGCCCTGGTGACCCCCCAAATGGACTACTGTTTTGCCCTCTACGTGGGGCTGCTCTTGAAAAGTATCTCAAAGCTTCAGCTGGGGCAAAAGGCAGCAGGGCAGGCAATTATGCTATGGGGTCCTTGGTGCTCTCTGAGCTTGGTTGCTTTCTTGCAGACGTGTGTCAGTACACAACTAGGTAACCTCATCAGTGCACTGTTGATGTTAGCTAGTTTCAATAAAGGAGAATATTTATAGCTCAGGGTTGAAATGAAAGGTCCTTAGTGCTCTCTGAGCTTGGTTATTTTCTTGCAGACGTTTCATTACCCAACTAGATAACATCATCAGTGCACTGGCGATGTTACCTAGTTTCAATAAAACTGGTGCTCTCTGAGCTTAGCAATAGCCCTTCACAGTTCTTTACAATCCTCTCTAAGCGGTTTACACAGTCAGCATGTTGTCCTCAACTATCAGGGTCCTCATTTTACTGACCTCGGAAGGATGGAAGGCTGAGTCAACCTTGAGCCGCTAAGAATCGAACTGTTGGCAGTTGGCAGAATTAGCCTGCAATACTGCATTCTAGCCACTGCACCACCAGGGCTCTTGGTAGTTTTCTTACAGACTAGGTGATAAGGCGTTCTGGGTGTTCTCTGAGCTTGTTCAGATGTTTCATTAAGCAAACTAGGTAACACCATCAGCGCTGAGCATATTGCCTAGTTTGGGGACACTAATGATGTTACCTAGTTTGGGTAATGAAACGTCTGCAAGAAAATAATCCAAGCTCAGAGAGCACCAAGGAGCCCTCATTTTAACCCTGAGCTACAAATTTTCTTCCTTTCTATGAGGTGGGCTCCTAGAACTCACAGGTTACACCTCTGCTCTGTGAGCTGTACTGGTTTCCAGTTTCCTTCTGGGTTCAACTCCAGGTGTTGGTGGTGACTAATGAAGCTATACATGGCATGGGGCCAGGTTACCTGCGGGACGGCCTCTCCCCAGTTCCTAAGTACCCCATCAGATGTGGCAGGAGGGTCAACGCTGTGGCAAGGAGCCACAGAGCTTTTTTGGCAGGACCTTCTCTGCTGTGTCACCCTCCCTTTGACACATCGCGTGACACTGGCCCAACCCTACTGGCTTGTCCAGAAGACCCTTCAAACTCTTGGGGCTTGAGGAATCCCATGGCAGCATGGGGCCCATTAAATGGTTGTGTGGTGTGCCTGGTATCCTCTCATATTTTTGTTATTACAGTTTTAACTCTTTTTATTTATTAAATGCACGTGCCACCCATCTGACTGCAAAAGCAACTCTGGGCAGCTGATTTAATTTTAACTGTATTTTTAATGGTTTTTTAATTATTGTAATTGTTTTTTTTCCCCTTTTAGCCGTGTGCACCGCCCAGAGTCACAAGCATGAGATGGGCGGCTGTATCCATCTAGTAAATAAATAAATAGATTGCTCAGTACATAAATACTTGCTCTAACTCCTTGTATTTGTCTTTCTATTATAGGTGTGTTTCTTCACACGTGCTCGCAATCCTTACTCCATAAAATGTGGCATGGCCCAATTCTTTCCTGTTTTACCAATACAGGTAAGTCCTCGACTTTTCTCCCCACATTTGTTAAGGGAATCACTGCAGTTGTTAAATTAGTAACAAGGTTGTTAAGTGAATCTGGTTTCCCCATTGACTTTGCTTGTCAGAAGGTCGCAAAAGGGGATCACATGGCACCCAGGACACTGCGACCGTTGTAAATGTGAGTCAGTTGCCAAGCAACTGAATTTTGATCATATGACCCTGGGGATGCTGCAACGGTCATAAGTGTGAAAAAACGGTCATAAGTCACTTTTTTCAGTGCCGTTGTAACTTTGAACGGTCACTAAATGAACTGCTATAAGTCAAGGACTACCTGTAATTATGTTATTTTATTGTTTAACTCCTCGTCACCACCATGAATTTACAAAGCAACACATTTAGCTTATTTTCCTCAACCTTCCTTGCAGATTCATTTATCCCTCTTATTTCTTACTAAACCCAGGTAGCCCTCAGCTTAGAACAGGGGTCTTCAAGCTTGGCCCTTTTAGGACTTGTGGACTCCCAGATTTGAAATGAAAAAAACAACCTAGCATCATTTTTCACTCTTATGACCATTGCAGCATCCCCAGGGTCACGTGATTTACATTCAGATGCTTGACAACTGGTACATGTTTATGACCGTTGCTGTGTCCTGGGATCACGTGATCCCCTTCTGCGACCTTCTGATCAGCAAAGTCAGTGGGGTGAAGCCGGATCCACTTAACAACCGTGTCCCTAACACAACCACTGCAGGGACTCCCTTAACAACTGTGGCAAGAAAAGTCATATAATGGGACACAACTCACTGAACAAATGTCTCACTTAGCAACATAAATCCCGGCCTCAGTTGTGGTTGTTAAGTCAAAGACTTATTTGTATCTTCCCAATTTTGCAGCTGAAAATTTAAATCATTGTCAGGTTTCTGTTATTGATGAAGTATTTATAAAACGCTTAACAGCATTTAGGGGGGGAAAAACATTTTGGAAAGCTGGGAGAGACCCTGGTGCACAAACAGAACCGATTCCAGGAATTCCCTGCCAAAATAATAATTAAAAAAAAGCCCAACCCCAGACTCCGATTTGCTTTGATGTGTCTGTTTCTGAGCAGACAGGAAAATGAAGCGGTGCAGGGCAATTATCCGACTTGATCACAGCCTGGGTTGCTTGTCTTGGGGAGAGGCCACATCTCCTTGCTGGTAAACATGCTCTGACTGCAGGAGGAGCCACATTTAGTCACAACAGGCGGTCCTCGGCTTACAACCCTTTGTTTAGCAACCGTTCAAAGTTACAACGGCACTGGAAAAAGGGACTTATGGCCAGTCTTCACGTTTAGGGCCATCGCAGCACCCCATGGTCACGTGATCAAAATCTGGGCACCTGGCAACTGGCGTGCATTGGCGGCACTTGTAGCATCCTGGGGTCATGTGATCAGCTTCTGACAAGCAAAGTCAACAAGGGGAACCGGATTCACTTAACAACCGCTTAACTCTGGCATAAAGGTCACAAAATCAGGTGCGATGACAATTGTCTTGCTTAGCGATGGAAATTCTGGTTCCATTGGTGGTCCAAAGTCGAGGACTTTGTCTTCTTCCTAGAAAGACCTCAGATTACAAGGGTGAAGAAACGTCTCTCCTTGACAGCTGCAGCCACCCAAAATATTTGTCAACACTGCAGGATAGGGGTCAAGGCTCGGTCTCTCAACTCGCAGGGGCTTCATGCAACCACAGCTTCTCTAGATTGAACTACCATACTCCAGACTGGGCTTCCTGGGCTCCAAGATCACCTCAGATGGGGACTGCAGCCAAGAAATTAAAAGACACTTGCTCCTGGGGAGGAAAGCTATGGCAAATCTAGACAGCATTCTAAAAAGCAGAGACGTCACCCTGCCAACAAAAGTGTGTATAGTCAAGGCCATGGTTCTCCCAGTTGCAACGTATGGCTGTGAAAGTTGGACCATAAGAAAGGCTGAGCGTCAAAGAATGGAGGCCTTTGAACTCTGGTGCTGAAGAAGACTCCTGCGAGTCCCCTGGATTGCAAGGCATTCAAACCGGTCAGTCCTAGAGGAGATCAACCCCAACTGCTCTTTAGAAGGCCAGATCCTGAAGTTGAAACTCAAATACTTTGGCCACCTAATGAGAAGGAAGGACTCCCTGGAGAAGAGCCTAATGCTGGGAAAGATGGAGGGCAAGAGAAGAAGGGGACAACAGAGAATGAGATGGCTGGATGGAGTCCCTGAAGCAGGAGGCGTGAGCTTCAATGGACTCCAGAAGATGGTAGAGGACAGGAAGGCCTGGAGGAACGTTGTCCATGGGGTCGCAATGGGTCGGACACAACTTCGCAACTAACAACAACAACAACAACTCCAGACTGGAAGTAGCCCTCGATTTACAGCCACAACTGAGCCCAAAATTTCTGTTGCTAAGTGAGACTGTTGTTAGGTGAATTTTGCCTCATTTTGCAACCTTTCCTGCCACAGTTGTTAAGTGAATCACTGCAGTTGTTAAGTTGGGAACACGGTTGTTAAATGAATCTGGCTCCCCCATTGACTTTACTTGTCAGGAGGTCGCCAAAGGGGATCACGTGATCCCAGGACAGGGCAAACCATCATAAATATGAGTCAGTTGCCAAGCGTCTGAATTCCGATCCCGTGACTATTGGGATGACGCAACGGTCCTAAGCGTGAAAAAAGTCATTAAGTCACTTTTTTCCAGTGCTGTTGTACCTTCAAACGGTCACTAAATGAAGTGTTATAAGTAGAGGACTACCTGTGCTGTCTTTCCAACTTACCTGGATTATCTGTGCAGCTGCTTCCGGCGTCCCTTGGCGGAGATCCTGACCGTTTATGGAAAGGACTTTATCGTTCTGACGCAGCTTCCCGTTCTTGGCTGCCAGTCCTCCGTCTAACAAGTCCAGAATGAAGATCCCAGGTTCATCGGTTTTTCTGATCAGTTTAATGCCAAGGGGTTCGGATCGGTCTCTTTTGACCAGGACCACATGGACCACTTCCTGGTTCACGACGGGTGGCCCTGTCCGGTTGGTAAAACCCTTCTCTTGAAGCACCAGAAGGTGGAGCTCCTCACAGGGCTGGCGTAAGAGCGAGATGGCTTGGCAGTGGGTCACACTGCTGATGTTCAGACCGTTCACCTGGGATAAGGAAGGAAACAGCTGCTGGTCAAAAGATGGTCTCCTAAAGGTCCTTCCACCAGGACACCCTTCCCTCCTTCCTCTATCACGGCAAAAGAAAACAACAGAACGTAAGCACTGTAGGAAGGAAATCCTACGAAGAAGCAGGTGACGTCTCCAGGAATTTGTCCTGACTTGCTTCAATAAGAGCAAATAAAATAGGATTAGAGCAATAGCACTTAGGCTTATATACTGCTTCACAGGGCTTTACAGCCCCTCTCTAAGCGGTTTACAGAGTCGGCATGTTGCCCCCAGCAATCCGGGTCCTCATTTTATCAACCTCGGAAGGATGGAAGGCTCAGTCAACCTTGAGCCAGTCAGGATCGAACTGCTGGCAGTGAGCAGTGAGTTAGCCTGCAATTCTGCATTCTCACCACTGAGCCACCACGGCTCGTGTTATTCTGAAATATGAAATATACCGGTTGTGCCGGAGGTCATTCACGGAGGACAGTTGCAGATCATGGCCAGGGAAGGTCATGAAAATCCCTTATGAAAATAAGGGAGACAATGGACCAATGGCAGCGTTTTCCTTCTCTCAACAAAATCAGAAAAAGTCAACCGGAAAAGTTGCAAAGGTATTTAGCACACAGTCAAATTCAGTCAAAAAGCTTAGCAAAGCACTGCCCAGCTTCCACACCTCCGACCTCCGTGTCTATTTAATGCCTTCCACGCCTATCATTCCTCCTTGCTTTACAATTAGTCCCCGACATTCGTTCCATGACCCTTCCAAATTACAATGGCACTAAAAAAAAGTGACATGACCGTTTCTCACACTTATGACCACTGCAGCATCCCCAAGGTCACATGATCAAAATCCAGACGCTTGGCAACTGCTTCCTATTTCTGACAGTTGCCGTGTCCCCTTTTGCAACCTCCTGACAAGGAAAGTAACAACCGTGTTACTAACTGAACAGTTATAGTGATTCATTTAATAACTGTGGCAAGAAAGGTTGTAAAATGGGGTGACAGCCCTTTAACAACTGTCTTGCTTAGAAATTTTGGGCTCAATTGTGGTCGTAAGCCGAGGACTACCTTCCAAAAATCTGATTAAAATCTGCCACAGCCAATTATCAACTCGTCGTGTTGCCTTGATGTTTTAGTGACAGCCAACCCACCTCTAGGATGTGGTCTCCGGGCGCGAGTTTCCCATCTGTGGCCGCCACGGAATCTTGAAATATCTCCTGCACAACGATGTTGCCGAGAGGTGTGTCTTTGCCACCGACTATACGCATACCGAGCTCGTCCTCGGGGTCCTCTCGGTGGAGTTCGATTGTGCTTGTCTCCGCCAGGAGACTCGCTCTCTGAGGTAAATCTGACAGAGCAAAGTCAGAAAGCGTATGAGTAAGGATTAAAGTGCTGGATTTTTTTTAACCATCTACAGCAGGGGTAGTCAACCTTGGCTCTTTTATGACTCGTGGACTTCAACTCCCAGAATTCCTGAGCCAGCCATGCTGGCTCAGGAATTCTGGGAGTTGAAGTCCACGAGTCATAAAAGAGCCAAGGTTGCCTACCCCTGATCTACAGCAAATATGGCAACCTGCATCCATTCCATCCTTTCTCACCAGTAATCCTGCAATCCCCAACTGTTTTTTTTTTTAAACAAGTTTTATTGATTTTCCATTTTTACAAACCTTCGGGTATTTAAGGAAGCAACATGATGGTTGAGTAATACATAGTCCAATAACACGCTTATCCATACATATATCAATTTACATCATCAGAAATTTCCTCTCTGTTTCCCTTAGTTATTATGCCAAATTCAAATTAGTACATTGCTAGTTATAACTTAATCATTTAAAACATTTATAAATGCAATCTCCAACTTTTTAAAGATGGAATTTTGTATCTAGAGTTTGTCCTTCCTCGTTTCTAGAAGCTAGTACCTAACCCCGGAATAACTTGACTTCAGGTCTCTGAAATCTACTTTGGAAAAGCTTACAAAGTAGAAAAGTCTGGAAAAACTTTGAACCGCTACTTCTGAGCCAAGATGCGTATGTAGAAGTGTTATTACGAATGAAAATTACAAGACACAATTTTCATATTGAACAACATAATCCCACAGTCCTATTCCATCAACGCAAGTATACCCACAAGAGAACAGAATTACAAACTTTAATTAAAGTTTTTGGGAATTCTACAGAAATTCATACAGCGATCTACCATATAAATCTCAATCTGCCTTCTGGCTAGTTACAGTCAAATCAAAAATTTCAACTGATATAGAATTTTTCCTGGATATCTTAAAACTCTTAAAAGGAACATAAAATGGAAAAAGAAGCCAAATATATTTTTGCATTTTGCCTCCTTGTTACATCTACAAGTATTAATTGTCCATTGTCCATTCGTGATAAAGGTTGTAAAATGGGGCAACCGCTCTCTTGGTTAGCAACAGACATTTGGGAGTCAGTTGCGCTCGTACGTTGAGGACTACCTGTATACAGGAGACACGAGGGAAGACCTCAATATAATTTCTTTGCAGGAATTGGGTATGTCTAGTCTAGTGAAAAGAAGGACTAGGGGTGACATGATAGCAGTCTTCCAATATTTGAGGGGCTGCCACAAAGAAGAGGGGGGTCCACCTTTTCTTCAAAGCACCAGAAGGCAAGGCAAGAAGCAATGGATGAAAACTAATCAAGGAGAGAATTAGGTACTTTAGGTACCTAGAACTAAGAAGAAATTTCCTGACAGTGAGAGCAATTAACCAGTGGAACAGCTTGCCACTGGAGGTTTTTAGGAAGAGACTAGGCAGCCATTTGTCTGGAATGGTATAGGGCCTCTTCTTGAGCAGGGGGTTGGACTAGAAGACCTCCAAGGTCCCCCTTCCAACTCTCTTGTTCTGTTCTGTTATTCTGGACACTTGCTCACATGTGCTCCTACATCAGCCTTCATTTCTCTAGATGCCTACCTTCTTCGCTCCCATCAAAGGCTGGGTTAACCATTCCAGGATCTGGGGTCTCTGGCGACAGAGCAGCAGCCTCTGAGCTTCCAGTCACTGAAGAGGATCCTCCGTTTGATACCTCGGGATCTTTTACGACCTTTGCTTCCAGCCTGGAAAGAGACTCTCCCTTCGCCCTGGACTGAGGGTTCCTCTTCCTTTCCAGGCGCGCCGTGTATTTCTTGAAGCCAGGGCACCTGCAGTAGACAGCAAAACCCATTCCCAAAAGAGTTCCATGTCTGTCTTATCACACCCTAAATTAGCCATCTGAAATATCGGGCTAGTCTCCGAGTTTCCACTATCCAAACTCTATTAAGAACAGCAATCAGATTAATAAGTGCAGCCGAAAGTCTAGAGCAGGGGTAGGCAACTTTGGCTCTTTTATGACTCGTGGACTTCAACTCCCAGAATTCCCGAGCCAGCATAAAAGAGCCAAGGTTGCCTACCACTGCTCTAGAGCACAAGGGTGCATCCTTGGCAATTTTAAGATCCAGAATTCCCCAGGCAGCATGGATGGCTGGGGAATTCTGGGAATTGAAGTCCACACATTAAAGTTGCCAAGGTTGGACATAGGTGCTCTACAGTAGGGGTCCACAACCTCTACTGTCTGTGGACCGGTACTGGGCTGCAGCATGCCAGCAACCGGTCCGCACAAACGAGCAAAGCCCCATCCGTGGGATGCAGGCAGCACACAAAATCACACACCCTCCGGTCCATGGGAAAAACTTCTCTCCATGGAACCAGTCCCTGGTGCCCAAAAGGTTAGGGGCCTCTGCTCTAGAGTAGGGGTTCCCAACCAGGGGTGCGAGATGATATTCCAGGGGGTGCGAAAACATGGGTTTTCAGAATTATAGTGTATATGCATAATTCGTTGCCATTATTTCAAACTTTTGTAAGGGGTGCGAGAATATGTCAGAAGCGTTCTAAGGGTGCGGGGTATAGAAAAGGTTGTGTGTGTGTGTGTATGTGTATATGTATGTATATGTATGTGTATGTGTATATGTGTATGTATGTGTATATATATATATATATATATATATACAGAAAGTTTTTCAGACAGACCGGTCTGATTGATTGCACCTTGGCATTTTGACTGTTATACTGCAGTTCTACTTTTTTATAATCTCTAGTATAGCTAGTATAGCTATACTAGTCTCCCACTTAAATCTTTAACTCTTGTCAGCAAAAAGAAATCTGTATGTATGTATGTATGTACGTATGTGTGTGTGTGTGTGTGTGTGCATATATATATATATATACACACACATACATACATATACACACATACACACACACACACACACACACACACACACATAAAATGGCTTGCCTCCAGAAGCTGTGGGTGCTCCCTCACTGGAAGCTTTTAAGAAAAGATTTGACAGCCAAGTCTGGAATGGTCTAGAATAGATTTCCTCCTAAGCAAGGGGCTGGACTAGAAGACCTCCCAAGTCCCTTCCAACTCTGTTATTCTGTTTTCAAAAACATCCTTTAATAAACTCCCTACCTAAATTTCTCAATTCAATTTCTTCCACTCAAGTTTCTCTCCCCGCCCAACCTTTCTTAATTAGTTTCAGTTTCTTCCCAAAACTAATAGGTGGTAACTAAGCAGAATGTCATCCTAGAGTCATTCTGACACTTAACGACTTTGAGCTCGGGAATGTGGACAGAAAATGAGTCACTCATGGACATTTCTCTCTGAATTGTCATGATTATGTGCACTATTCAAGCACAAGGCTGACATAAAATGGTAAGCTCCTAACCGTGTCAAGAATAAAGAATAACCTGCAAGCATCGCTGCGGCTACAATGAAAAATTAGGCACACCTGTTCTTCAAGTGAGCTTCAAGCTCACACCGTTGCATCGTCTGCGCACAGTCTTCTTGAAAAGGACAACGGACAATGAGCTTATCCAGCAGATTCCGTACCAACAAGCTAGACTTCCGGCAGCTCTGGAAGGACAGTTTCTTCCGATCCATGGGACAGAAGCTGTACTCCTGCATGAAGTTTTCAAGACATCTGAAACAGTAGGTGTGCCCACAAGGCGTGTCCATAGGCTGGAGCAAAGGCTGAAGGCAAATGTGACAAGTCAAGTCGTCATCTACTTCATCTTGGAAGTTATAAAGATGATTGTCTGGCAACGAGTGAATTTGTCCACATTCGTGGCAAAGTTCCCGAGCTTTGGAGACCGGTTCTCCTCCTGCGGGATTGGCCATGGCGTCAGCCGATCCTCCTTTCCGCTGGCGTGGATGAACAGCAAGCTCCTAAAATGAAAAGGGAAAATTGAATACTGTACCGCTTTAGATCAGACTAAATTGGTAAAATCACCCGTAGGATGGTCAAATTCCAATCTTTGGGGGGGAAACAGACGTTCACGTTGCACGTTTTCCTCTGAAGTACTATAGAAAGCCAGAGATAGGACCTTGAAGGGAATATTCAGAAGCCTTTACAGCAGGGGTAGTCAACCTTGGCTCTTTTATGACTCGTGGACTTCAACTCCCAGAATTCCTGAGCCAGCTAAGCTGGCTCAGGAATTCTGGGAGTTGAAGTCCACGAGTCATAAAAGAGCCAAGGTTGACTACCCCTGCTTTACAGTAACCAGAAGAGCAGAAAAGCATTCCTTAAGTCCCGGGAAAGGAGATGGTATTAGGAAGACACTCGGGCTGGCTTCTCCCTGACTAAGTGGGGGGAAAAGAGGAAAAACACAACCAGATTTGTAAGGTTCGGTTAATCTAATCTAGTTCAATAAAGCATAATTCGCGTGCAATCAGCTGTTTCCATCTACCAAGTATGGCTGACAAATACACCACGTCTACTGTAAACATTAGATACAAAAGGATTTTATTTATTCCACAAGGAATCCTCGACTTACGACCACAATCGACCCCAAAGTTTTTGTTGTTAAGTGAGAAATGTTTGCCCCATTTTATGACTTTTTTTTAAACCACATTCGTAAAGTGAATCACTGCATTTGTTAAATTAGTAACATGGTTGTTAAGTGAAGCTGGCTTCCCCGTTGACTTTGCGTGTCAGAAAGTCGCAAAAGGGGATCACATGACTCCAGGACGCTGCAATTGTCATAAATGTGAGTCAGTTGTCAAGTATCCGAATGGAAATTGTATGACTATCGGGATGCCGCAACAGTCATAAGTGTGAAAAATGGTCATGTCACTTTTTTCAATGCCGTTGTAACTTCAAACGGTCACTAATGAATTGTAAGTCGAGGAATACCTGTATTTGTAAAAAAAAAATAATGTTATTTTCTAAAGCCCAGTTATCTAACACGTAATGGCACGAATCTAATTCAATGATCCGTAGCTTTCAAATTTTATCCATTGAAGGCAAGATTTTTTAGAAGCCAGTAGGAGAACACATCGATTAAAAGAAGAAGAAAGACGAACGCAATCCATGATCCACCTTGTACATTGGACCGAAAGATATTTTCTGGTATATTAAAACTAAGAACCGCAATTGGATTGAAAGGATATACATGACTAGACACATATCTAATCTAGTCTTAACTAGTCTAAACCAGAGGTCCCCAACTTTTGGGGCACCAGGGACCGGTTCCGTGGAGAGAGGTTTTTCTGTGAACCGGAGGGGGCCTGGTTTCATGTACTGCCTGCATCCCGTGGATGGGGCTTTGCTTGTTTGCGCGGCCCAGTTTCTGGCATGTTGTGGCCTGGTGCCGGTCCACGGACCGGGGGTTGCGGACCCCTGGTCTAGAAAACTAGGTAAGACGTCAACTATGCAAATCAAAACAGACTACACATGGGAGAAACTGAAATATTTATAGGAGAAGGAAGGAAGGAAGGAAGGAAGGAAGGAAGGAAGGAAGGAAGGAAGGAAGGAAGGAAGGAAGGAAGGAAGGAAGGAAGGAAGGAAGGAAGGAAGGAAGGAATTCTAAGATTTAAAAAGAAACATTCTGAGCCTTTTTATTGTTTGGTCCTGCATTAATCAGTTAATTTCTGTCTGAACATCACCATTCTTCTTGATCTATTTTAGAGCAGGGGTGGGGAACTATGGCCCTTTTATGATTTGTGGACTTCAACTCCCAGAATTCCTGAGCCGGCCATGCCAAGCCAGCCAAGTCATAAAGAGGCCATAGTTCCCCACCTCTGATTTAGAGTTTCATCACTGTCAGTTTTCTAGCATTCAAGCAACTGCTGGAGGTAGCTTCGATAGTCTCTTTGACACATCAAACAAAGCTGCTTTAAATTCCTGGAAACCAGACATGAACTGGAGATAAAAGGTAATCCACACCTGTCTGCAAAACGGGAAATTGAGCAGCCTTCGTGGAGAGAGACAACAAGCTGCAACTGGTCAATTGGGTCTCCTGAAAAAAGAATCTGACAGCCAATGCTCCATCAGTCTACAACACTAAACGTGTATTTAATCTTCTTCTTCTTGTGCCATATCCATTATCGGATGTTGGCGATCATGTTGGCGATCCTGTTTTTATCAGGGTCTGGATGGGGAGGAACAGACTCAGGCTCAACCCTTCCAAGACCGAGTGGCTGTGGTTGCCGGCGCCTCGGCATAGTCAGCTGACTCCATCGCTGACTATAGGGGGCGAAACTCTGGCCCCCTCGGAGAAGGCACGCAACTTGGGTGTCCTCCTGGATCCACGGCTGACACTAGAAGATCATTTGTCGGCCGTGAC